CACCAATGATGGGCGCTATTCCTCCCACTGACACCAATGATGGGGCGCTATTCCTGCCACTGATACCAATGGATGGGGCGCTATTCCTCCCACTGACACCAATGATGGGGCGCTATTCCTCCCACTGACACCAATGATGGGGCGCTATTCCTCCCACTGACAACCAATGAATGGGACGCTATTCCTCCCACTGACACCAATGATGGGCACTATTTCCCCCACTGACACCAATGATGGGGCACTATTCCTCCCACTGACACCAATGATGGGGCACTAATTCTCCCCACTGACACCAATGATGGGCCACTATTCCTCCCACTGACACCAATGATGGGGCACTATTCCTCCCACTGACACCAATGATGGGGCACTATTCCTCCCACTGACACACCAATGATGGGGCACTACTTTTCCCCCCACTGACACCAATGATGGGGCGCTATTCCTCCCACTGACACCAATGATGGGGCGCTATTCCTGCCCACTGATACCAATGATGGGGCACTATTCCTCCACTAACACCAATGATGGGGCACTATTCCTCCCACTGACAAACCAATGATGGGGCGCTATTCCTCCCACTGACACCAATGATGGGGCACTATTCCTCCCACTTATACCAATGATGGGCGCTATTCTCCCCTCTATTCCTCCCACTGACACAATGATGGGGCGCTATTCCTCCCACTGACATCCCCAATGAAGGGCACTATTCCTCCCACTGACACCAATGATGGGGGGCACTATTCCTCCCACTGACACCAATGATGGGCACTATTCCTCCCACTGACACCAATGATGGGGCACTATTCCTCCCACTGACACCAAGATGGGGCGCTATTCCTCCCACTGACACCAATGATGGGGCACTATTCCTTCCACTGACACCAATGATGGGGCACTATTTTCCCCTGACCAATGATGGGCACTATACCTCGCCTGACCCCACTGATGGGGCACTATTCCAAGCCACTGACACCAATGATGGGGCACTATTCCTCCCACTGACACCAATGATGGGGCACTATTCCTCCCACTGACACCAATGATGGGGCACTATTCCTCCCCGCATGACACCAATGATGGGACACTATTCCTCCCACTGACACCAATGATGATTCCTCCACAGACACCAATGATGTGGCACTATTCCTGATGGGGCACTATTCCTCCCACTGACACCAATGATGGGGGGCGCTATTCCTCCCACTGACACCAATGATGGGAGACACCACTATTCCTCCCACTGACACCAATGATCGGTAGCACTATTCCTCCACTGACACCAATGATGGGGGCACTATTTCCTCCCACTGACACCAATGATGGGTACTATTACCACCTCCCACTGACACCAATGAATGGGGCACTATTCCTCCCACTGACACCAATGATGGGGCACTATTCCTCCCACTGACACCAATGATGGGGCGCTAATCCTCCCACTTGACACCAATGATGGGCGCTATTCCTCCCACTGACACCAATGATGGGGCACTATTCCTCCCACTGACACCAATGATGGGGCACTATTCCTCCCACTGACACCAATGATGGGGCACTATTCCTCCCACTGACACCAATGAATGGGGCACTATTCCTCCCACTGACACCAATGATGGGACACTATTCCTCCACTGACACCAATGATGGGGCACTATTCCTCCCACTGACACCAATGATGAGGACACTATTCCTCCACTGACACCACTGACTATTCCTCCCACTGACACCAATGATGGGGCACTATTCCCTCCCACTGACACCATGAGGTGGGACACTATTCCTCCCACTGATACCAATGATGGGGCGCTAATGACACCACCAATGATGGGCACTATTTCCTCCCACTGACACCAATGATGGGCACTATTCCTCCCACTGACACCATGATGGGGCTATTCCTCCCACTCGACACCAACTGACTATTCCTCCCACTGAACACCAATGATTGGGACACATATTCCTCACCACTGCACTAATTCCTCCCACTGACACCAATGATCTGGGCACTATTCCTCCCACTGACACCAATGATGGGGCACTATACCTCCTCCAGTGACAACCAATGATGATGGGCACTATTCCTCCCACTGACACCAAGATGGGGGGAACTATTCCTCCCACTGACTACCAATTTGATGGGCGCTATTCCTCCCACTGACAGCATGATGGGGCTTCTATTCCTCCCACTGACCCCAATGATGTGGGCACTATTCCTCCCACTGACACCAATGATGCGGGGCGATTCCTCCCACTGACACCAATGATGGGACACTATTCCTCCCACTGACACCAATGATGGGGCACTATTCCTCCCACCTGACACCAATGATGGGGCACTAATTCCTCCCATTCTCCTCCCACTGACACCAATGATGGGGACAATGACTATTCCTCCCACTGACTAATGACCAATGACACCAATGGGGCACTATTCCTCCCACTGACACCAATGGGGGCGCTATTCCTCCCACTGACACCAATGATGGGGCACTATTCCTCCCACTGACACCAATGAATGAAAGGGGCTATTCCTCCCACTGCGCACTATCCTCCCACTGACACCAATGATGGGGCACTATTCCTCCCACTGACACCAATGATGGGACACTATTCCTCCCACTGACACCAATGATGGGACCCACTATTCCTCCCACTGACACCAATGATGGGGCGCTATTCCTCCCACTGACACCCAATGATGGGGCGCTATTCCTCCCACTGACACCAATGATGGGGCGCTATTCCTCCCACTGACACCAATGATGGGACGCTATTCCTCCCACTGACACCAATGATGGGGCACTATTCCTCCCACTGACACCAATGATGGGGCACTATTCCTCCCACTGACACCAATGATGGAGCACTATTCCTCCCACTGACACCAATGATGGGGCACAATTCCTCCCACTGACACCAATGATGGAGCACTATTCCTCCCACTGACACCAATGATGGGGCGCTATTCCCCCCACTGACACCAATGATGGGGCGCTATTCACCCCACTGACACCAATGATGGGGCACTATTCCCCCCACTGATACCAATGATGGGGCACTATTCCTCCCACTGACACCAATGATGGGACAACTATTCCTCCCACTGACACCAATTATGGGGCACTATTCCCCCCACTGATACCAATGATGGGGCACTATTCCTCCCACTGACACCAATGATGGGACACTATTCCTCCCACTGACACCAATGATGAGGCACTATTCCTCCCACTGACACCAATGATGGGGCACTATTCCTCCCACTGACACCAATGATGGGGCACTATTCCTCCCACTGACACCAATGATGAGTGCACTATTCCTCCCACTGACACCAATGATGGGACACTATTCCTCCCACTGACACCAATGATGGGGCACTATTCACCCCACTGACACCAATGATGGGGCACTATTCCTCCCACTGACACCAATGATGGGGCACTATTCCTCCCACTGACACCAATGATGGGGCACTATTCCTCCCAGTGACACCAATGATGGAGTATTGTTGTTTCAGGACGATTCTCCACCATTTCATACACCCCGGAATTCCCGAACCTTCGACTTGTACAGAGGATCCGGCTGACATTATTTATCAAGAATAGTTTGTCAATAAAGAGAATTCCATGAATGATCCGAATTAAAAATTCGATACAAACCGGTAAATAAAATTCGACCCGCGACGCTTGTTCCTACAAAATCAAGAAGAAGGAAATATGATGCGGCAATATTTAATTTGTTCATTTTTTTAATAACATTTCATCGAATTTACGAATAATAATCGATAAATATTTCAGGAACGTCACAGAACGATTTATTCCCTTCGTTGGTGTCAGTGGATGGAGAAGCCGCATCAAGTTCTCGTCCTGTTATCATTCGATCTGCACAGCGGGTCGTCGCATCGCTCTCAGCTCTGAGGACGAATGATTTCCCTGACCCAAACAGAGACCCCCGTTGTAATAGGGACCCCAACAGAGACCCCCATTGTATCAGGGACCCCATCAGTGAACCCGTTTTGTTAGGGACCCCATCAGAGACCCCAGTTGTATCAGGGACCCCAACAGAGACCCTTGTTGTATCAGAGACCCCCGTTGTATCAGGAAACCCATCAGAGACCCCTGTTGTATAGGGACCCCAACAGAGACCCCTATTATATTAGGGATCCCATCACAGACCCCCGTTGTATTAAGGACCTCATCAGAAATCAGGGAAGAGACCCCTGTTGTATTAGGGACCCCAACAGAGACCCCTGTTGTATCAGGGACCCCATCAGAGACCCCCGTTGTATCAGGGACCCCATCAGAGACCCCCATTGTATCAAGGTCCCCATCAGAGACCTTGTCGTATCAGGAACCCCATCAGAGACCCCCGTTATATCAGGAACCCCATCAGAGACCCCTGTTGTATCAGGAACCCCATCAGAGACCCCTAACATATCAGGGACACCATCAGAGACCCCCATTGTATCAGGAACCCCTGCAATGTATTCTCTGTGAAGCCCCTCCACCCCAGTACTTCCCTGAGCCCCATCCATACCCACCCATCATAGGGGATCCCAGAACATCATCTATAGACCTGCAGACCTCAGTGCCTCCAGTAAGGTCAGAGTGGACTCACCAATAAGGAAGAGTCCGGCAAATATGGACACCATGGGAGAGGTCCAAGACCAGAGCCACCGCTGACCAACAAGGACACAAAGACTCGGCTCACATCGGCCAAAAAACATCTGGATCGTTCCCAGGACTTTTGGACAAATCTTCTGTGGACTGATGGGACCAAAGTTGAACTTTGTGGAAGGTGTGCGTCCCGTTACATCTGGTGTAAAACTAACACAGCATTTCATAAAAAGAACATCATCCCAACAGTGAAGCATGGCGGTGGTCATACATCTACAGACCTGCTGACCAACAAGAACAAAAAAGGCTTGTTTCACATTGGCCAATTAACATCTTGATCATCCCCAAGATGTTTGGGCAAATGTTCTGTGGACTGATGAGACCAAAGTTGAACATACCATTACCAGAAGGTATGCTGTGTCTCCCAGCACAGCCTCAAGAGCATTCAGGAGATTCCAGGAGACAAGAGCATGGAGGAGATTCCAGGAGACATGAGCATGGAGGAGATTCTAGGAGACAAGAGCATGGAGGAGATTCCAGGAGACGAGAGCATGGAGGAGGTTCTAGGAGACATGAGCATGGAGGAGATTCCAGGAGACAAGAGCATGGAGGAGATTCCAGGAGACGAGAGCACGGAGGAGATTCCAGGAGATGAGAGCACGGAGGAGATTCCAGGAGACAGGCAGTTCCTCTAGGAGGGCTGGACAGGGCCGTGGAAGGTCCTTCACCCATCAGCAGGACAGGTATCTGCTCCTTTGTGCAAGGAGGAACAGGAAGCGCCCTGCCAGAGCCTGTGACCTCCAGCAGGCCACTGGTGTGAATGTCTCTGACCAAACAATCAGAAACAGCCTTCATGAGGGTGGCCTGAGGGCCCGACGTCCTCTAGTGGGCCATGTGGTCACTGCCCGGCACCATAGAGCTGGTTTGGCATTGGCCATTGAACCCCAGAATTGGCAGGTCCACCACTGGCATCCTGTGCTTTTCACAGATGAGAGCAGGTTCCCCCTGAGCACATGTGACAGACGTGAAAGGGTCTGGAGAAGCCATGGAGAATGTTCTGCTGCCTGTAACATGGTTCATCATGACCGTTGTGGTGGTGGGTCAGTGATGGTCTGGGGAGGCATCTCCATGGAGGGACACACAGACCTCTACAGGACAGACAATGGCCCCCTGACTGCCATTAGGTATGGGGATGACATCCTTGGACCCATTGTCAGACCCTACACTTGTGCAGGGGGTCCTGGGTTCCTCCTGGTGCAGTGGGTCCTGGGTTCCTCCTGGTGCGGTGAGTCCTGGGTTCCTCCCGGTGCAGTGGGTCCTGGGTTCCTCCCGGTGCAGTGGGTCCTGGGTTCCTCCTGGTGCAGTGGGTCCTGGGTTCCTCCTGGTGCAGTGGGTCCTGGGTTCCTCCCGGTGCAGTGGGTCCTTGGTTCCTCCTGGTGCAGTGGGTCCTGGGTTCCTCCTGGTGCAGTGGGTCCTGGGTTCCTCCTGGTGCGGTGAGTCCTGGGTTCCTCCCGGTGCAGTGGGTCCTGGGTTCCTCCCGGTGCAGTGGGTCCTGGGTTCCTCCTGGTGCAGTGGGTCCTGGGTTCCTCCTGGTGCAGTGGGTCCTGGGTTCCTCCCGGTGCAGTGGGTCCTGGGTTCCTCCTGGTGCAGTGGGTCCTGGGTTCCTCCTGGTGCAGTGGGTCCTGGGTTCCTCCTGGTGCATAACAATGCCTCATGTGGGGAGAGTATGCAGGCAGTTCCTGGAGGATGAAGGAATTGATACCATTGAATGGCCCCCACGCTCCCCTGACTAAATCCAATAGAACCCCTCTGGGATGTCATGTTTCGGTCCATCCAACGCCACTAGGTTGCACCTTAGACTGTACAGGAGCTCAGTGATGCCCTGGTCCAGATCTGGGAGGAAATCCCCCAGGACACCATCTGTGGTCTCATTAGGACCCTCCCCCCGACGTTGTCAGGCATGCATACAAACACGTGGGGGCCACACAGACTACTGAGGACCATTCTGAGTTGCTGCAATGACATTTCAGCACAATGGACTCGCCTGCTACATCATTTTTTTACTTTGATTTTCGGGGTGTCTGTGAATTCAGTCCTCTGTAGGTCGATCATTTCCATCCAACGATGGGGCGTCCTTACGTTCCTCTCCCATCCCCCGTCCATGTCAGTATAGAGATCCAGCAGGAGACTCCTCCCCATTGGGATCTGATGGGTTTTCAAAGTCTTCCTTTCATTTTTTGGATCCGTGTATATAAATACAGTGAAGGAAATGTGTATTTGCTCCCCTGCTGATGCTGAATGTTCGCCCTTCACACAGAAACGATCGGTCTAACAATGGAATGTTCGCCCCTCACACAGAAATGATCGGTCTAACAATGGAATGTTCGCCCCTCACACAGAAATGATCGGTCTAACAATGGAATGTTCGCCCCTCACACAGAAATGATCGGTCTAACAATGGAATGTTCGCCCCTCACACAGAAACGATCGGTCTAACAATGGAATGTTTCGGTGTAACACTGAGAGACAGAATACAACAACAAATTCAGCAGAAATGCGTCTAACAAATGATGACGGATCTGCATGTTCATGAGGGAAAGAAGGATTTGATCCCCTTCACAAAACATGACTTAGTACTTGGTGGCAGGGGCGGACTGACCATTCAGGCACTCGGGCTCTGCCCAAGGGCCCAGGGTCAGTAGGGGGCCCCATGAAATGTCTCTTGTACCTTTTTTATAGGCTTTTTTGGGTGTGCTTTGAGTGCGGGCAAGGACACAGGGGCCCCATGAGCCATCAGTCTGCCCCTGCTTGGTGGCAAATCCCTTGTTGGCAATCACAGAGGTCAGACGTTTCCTGGAGTTGGCCCCCAGGTTCGCACACATCTCAGGAGGGATTTTGGCCCACTCCTCTTGGCAGATCCTCTCCAAGTCATTAAGGTTTGGTGGATGACGTTTGGCAACTCGAACTTTCAGCTCCTCCACAGCTGTTCAATCGGATGAAGGTCTGGAGACTGGCTAGGCCACTCCAGGACCTTAATGTGCTTCTTCTGGAGCCGCTCCTTTGTTGCCTTGGCCGCGTGTTTTGGGTCATTCTTATGCTGGAATACCCATCCATGAGATATTTTCAATGCCCTGGCTGAGGGAAGAAGGTTCTATCCCAAGATTTGATGGTACATTGCCCCGTCCATCGTCCCTTTGATGCGGTGTAATTGTCCTGTCCCCTTAGCAGAAAAACACCCCAAAGCAGAATGTTTCCACCACCATGTTTCACAGTTGGGATGGTGTTCTTGGGGTCATAGGCAGCATTCCTCCTCCTCCAAACACGGCGAGTTGAGTTGATGCCAAAGAGCTGGATTTTGGTCTCCTCTGACCACAACACTTCCCACCAGTCCTCCTCTGCATCATTCAGATGTTCAGTGGCAGACTTCAGACGGGCCTGGACATGGGCTTTCTTGAGCAGAGGGACCGTGCGGGCACTGCAGGATTTCAGTCCTTGTCGGCGTAGTGTGTTACCAATTGTTTTCTTGGTGACTGTGGTCCCAGCTGCCTGGAGATCATTGACAAGATCCTCACGTGTAGTTCTGGGATGATTCCTCACTGTTCTCATGATCATTGACACCCACGAGGTGAGATCTTGCATGGTGCACCAGACCTAGGGAGACTGACACTTGTTTTGTGTTTCTCCCATTTGTGAATGATTGCACCAACTGTTGTCACCTTCTCACCAAGCTGCTTGGCCATAGTTTGGTAGCCCAGTCCAGCCTTGTGTAGGTCTACCATCTTGTCCCTGACATCCCTGGACAGCTCTTTGGTCTTTGCCATGGTGGAGAGTTTGGAATCTGATGGTTTGATGGCTCCTGTGGACAGGTGTCTTTTATACAGGTAACACAATGAGATTAGCAGCACTCCCTTTAAGAGACTGCTTCTAATCTCAGCTTGTTACCTGTATGAGAGACACCTGGGAGCCAGAAATCCTGCTGAATGATAGGGGATCAAATCCTTCTTTCCCTCATGAACATGCAGATCCGTCATCATTTGTTAGACGCATTTCTGCTGAATTTGTTGTTGTATTCTGTCTCTCAGTGTTACACCGAACATTCCATTGTTAGACCGATCGTTTCTGTGTGAGGGGCGAACATTCCATTGTTAGACCGATCATTTCTGTGTGAGGGGCGAACATTCCATTGTTAGACCGATCGTTTCTGTGTGAGTGGGGCGAACATTCCATTGTTAGACCGATCGTTTCTGTGTGAGGGGCGAACATTCCATTGTTAGACCGATCATTTCTGTGTGAGGGGCGAACATTCCATTGTTAGACCGATCGTTTCTGTGTGAGGGGCGAACATTCCATTGTTAGACCGATCATTTCTGTGTGAGGGGCGAACATTCCATTGTTAGACCGATCATTTCTGTGTGAGGGGCGAACATTCCATTGTTAGACCGATCGTTTCTGTGTGTGAGGGGCGAACATTCCATTGTTAGACCGATCATTTCTGTGTGAGGGGCGAACATTCCATTGTTAGACCGATCGTTTCTGTGTGAGGGGCGAACGTTCAGCATCAGCCGGGGAGCAAATACAATTTCCTTCTCTCTCTCTCTCTCTCTCTATATATATCTATATCTTTTATTATATACAGTTCCTGGCCTTCTGCTTTGTTAAAGTTCAATTTCTTTTCTTAAGAAGTTTACGGAAAGAAACAGAAAGCCTAATAACAGGAAATGAGTAAGAATGTGTTTTTGGTGACAGGAAGAGCGAGGCGAGGGAAAGGAACATCAAACCGTGGTGTAGATCAGACGATAGCAAGAAGGTGTTACTAACAGATTGACCGAAGCTGGAAATCATCAGATCAGCGGAACGGTTTTAGGTTGGTGACGGGACGATGTAGAGGTGGATGCATGAAGTCTAGAAAGACCTACAAGGCGGTGTACGACCTGGACCCCCTCATTGTTCACCCGGTGTTTTGGTTCAGCTCAAGAATCGGAGACATAGTCAATTAGATGAGCTGGGCCTTTGAGAAGCTTCAGCAATGATGGGACCTTCTCTGCTTCTCCTTCTCATCTTCTCAGCCCTGACTCTCCCGGTCCAAGGCAGCAGCAATGCAGGTAAATGCCAAACACCACATCCATAGATTCTATGTTCTTATATGTAACTGGCTTGAAAAGTTGTTTTTTCTACATCTTCTACTAGGTTGGCCAACAATTAATGTAGACAGTTCGGAGTTTAGGTGATAATTTAAGCAGAACTCAATTATATGCTGCCTGTCCCCCCCCCCCCCCCCCCCCACACACCTACCTAACATCACATGTATAGTCTTGAAACACTGGAAGAGGCTTTATGTACTTACATTTGCTCCTTTGTGGAAAAGAAAGGTGGCCATATAGCCCCAAGGTCTGGATTCAGTTGCCCAATTGGGTCTTCTCATCCAACACCCAGAACAGAACAAATTCCCACAGACACCCTCCAAAGTCTTGTAGAAAGTCTTGTGGGGATGGAGGCAACTCCATATTAATGACCATGGGTGGGCAACTCTGATAATGGCCATGTGGGGAAGGGGGCAACTCCATATTAACGACCATGTGTGGACAACTCTAATAATGGCCATGGGTGGACAACTCTAATAATGGCCATGTGGGGATGGGGGCAACTTCATATTAATGACCATGGGTGGACAACTCTAATA